AATATTAAAATAGTGTTAAAAAAATCAACTTGACCAACTCTTTTTTTAAAAGAAAATGAAGAAAAACTTAAGTTATATATAATATAGACCTTTTTTTTTCTCAACTTAATAGTAAATGACGTGTTGGTTAGTTGGTCCGATAATAAAGGACTTCTTTAACATATTTTTCTAATTCGATTCCAGTGGGCAAGTAATTTTTTTGAACCAACTAAATGAATTCTTAAAAGAAAAGTAATTTTTTTGAACCAACAAAATGAATTCTTTTTTGGGAAAAGTTTATATAAGGATGGAAATTTAAAATGTAAAATTACATATGCACCTCAAAAATCCATCAGAAAAAGTTGTTTTAACGTTGAAAAAACCCTCTAACTTATCATCTCAACATCGAAATGCATCAATATGAAAAAAAAAAAGATTTTGGGTCTAAAAAATAGTGCATTTTGCAGCACATCATCTAGACCGTCTATTTTCAAGATTTTCATATATTTATAGATCTACTTGATTTTAAATATTTTTTTACTTTAAAATTTTATAATTAGATATAAAAATAGATTTTTAAATAATCTTAAGAATTTTTTACACCAAAATTGCACCTTATGATAAAATTTGGAGGTGCGGCTTAATTGGATTGTTTAAGGTTGCAACCTTATAAAAACCACAACCTTCTTTTTTTTTGAAGGAACGAAATGAATTATTAAAAGAGAAGGGATTCAAACCATGACTCATATAAAACTTAACCATAAGGCTAACCAATAAACCATTCTAATGTATTTGATATAAATTTAACCATAAGGCCAACCAATAAACCATTCTAATGTATTTGATATAAATTTGAAGTAGTACTTCATTTAAAAGTTTAAAATATCAATTAATCATCAAAACCGACCAAAACCGAAACTGACCGGTTCCGTTCTAACCAACCGATTAACGATTAGATCGGTCGGTTTTACAAACACTGATCTGGAGTTTCTTTTCTTCATTAGCTAAGGATGAAATGGTAGCAGCCTTATTAATACTCTTAGTGCTCCTAAAGCAATGTTGGACTGGATCCAACAATGCCCCGGCCATGTAATGGAAATTGCCATCCTCAAGGAACACACAGAAACGATACGCGATGGACGAGACAAGGTACATTCGTATGAAGGTTCATGATAGAGATCATCGAGGTACTTTATTGGGAGACCCAACACAGGGTCATGATAGAGATCATCAAACTACTCCTGCTTGCTTTTCTCAAGCAAAGTTGTACATGTCTAAGTACCCTCTCAGGCAAAGAACTGCGGTACTGTAGATATGAGGTCCTCCAAAAGCCCTCCGAGTTGTACCTTTAAGAATTTATGAATTTTAGTCTAAGTAGAAACGGCCCTTCAATGCTAGTTGCCCCAATTGGGACAAAACAAAAAATCCAGTTAACAACTGGATTTCAAGGCACCCCAATCTCTTGATCTCGTGAATGAAACAATTTCCTAGCTATAAGAGAATCATCAAGTTGGAGCTAAAATTCATTGCTTTGCCAATGGTTATGGCTAAGACCTTTTTTGGCTGATATTAGTGCACAAATTCTTTATTTTGGAAGACCCAGAGAGCAGGCATTATACTCAAGGCCCAAAAGTTGCACAGGTATTTGAAGTTTGTACAATAATTTCAGTACCGATAAACCTACTTTTAACGACAAAATAAAAAAAAACAGTACCTATTTGTAACCCCCTTTTTCTAGGTTCTGCTTTTTCATCCTACTGAAAATATCAGTTCGCCAACAAAAGTCAGTCAACAGTTGAACTTATGTTCTCAAATTACTTGTCTTGCGGATGCACAACCAATTATCTGATAGATGGAGTAGCCAAGACCAATAGTTGGTGTAGACCTTTTAGCTATGCAGGATCTAAGGTTACCTTCACAGTGATGCTCCACTATTTAGGACATCTATGGGTATTTCTGGCATCTCTTGTGCTTAATCTACTTTTTACTCATGCTACCCTCCGTTTACAAACCACATTTCCAGAAACACTTCTTAGAAAGTAAACTACCTCAATTCTTTTTTCTACTTGCTTTTACTTTTATCCTACAAAGGAAACTGCTTTTCCCAATAAATACATCCTCAGCTTTTGAGTTTAGGTACGCAAACACTTTGTGTGAAGGAGAGATAAAAATGCAATCAAGCCTGTGGTTAATAACCTACTACTTAAGAATTTCTTTAGTAACTCGACTCCATCCATGGATAGGCTGACTCTGAGCTTATCCATTTGATTCATTCAAGAGAGTTTCCATCTACCAATGAGACGTAGAGAAAAGAACTACGAGAAGGCAAGTTAGAAAAGCCTAAAGCCACTTCCCTTGTCAAACTGCCAAACCTATAAATTTGAAGGTCTTTTTTTCGTTTGGTAAATACAAATTTGAAGGTCTATCTTTTAAAAGTATTACATTCTTTCACAATACTCGCTTGCCAAGGAAGTTCAAGGTATCTAAAAGAGTACAATAAAAATTTGTGGCGTAGGAAACTTTCCGAGGATAAGAAAGTGGTTCATCATTCTGATCCATCTAAACTTAGACAAGGACAGATGGACTCACAATATCAAGTGAAACCATGAAGGTTAGATTGTTCCTACCGTAATCCACTTCCAAATGCCACCCTAGCCAAAGATAACCCCAATCACGAAACGAATTCCATTTCCTGAATCGAAGCTTGCTAGCAAAGGAGAGAAGCCACATCCTATAGCCACCACACCTACATGACACGAGGAGCAGGGATACAACAGAGTATTTTCCAAAATCCAGGAGAAGGATACATGGACAATCTAGGATGGCATCCTGATACACCAATATTATATTTATAACAAAACGATGCATGCATATAATGTTGACCAATGGAATAAGCTAAGATACAATTAAGTGTTACAAATGATCAAAAACGTGTTGCAATTTACAACAGTTGAGATGTAATAAAACCCCATCAACCATGCAAGCATAAATCTTGTCAAAGAAAAATCCCAAATGATCAAGCAAAAAACTTGTAGCTGACAATAATGTGACTACACCAAAAACAATTAAAAGAAATAGAAGGGAAAACCATCAAAGGATACGCCCAGTGTGTAACTATGGAATTAAGATTTACTAGAATTACATTTTAGATGTACAATTAGAATGTGTGTGTATGTGTGGGGGAGAGAGAGAGAGACAGAGACAAAATCAGCGACATTCGAATGTCTTTGATTTACTTTCAGGTAAACAAGGCTACAAAGCCAAAAATTAATCCATATATGGATCAATCATCCACTAAAAACAGAATGCATATGGAACTTCATGACAAGGTTTAAACACCAAAATGAGAAAAGGTACAAAGTACTCTAGAGACAAATGTGTTGCTCCAGCAGCACAACTTGAACGTAATTGCACAAATAATTGCACAACTTGTTCATGGCATACATTGTACATATTTTCATCTGTCACAATTTTTAACATTTTCAAGAGAAAATAAGATCCACATGTGAAGATGCCTGCTTGACTAGCATCAGTGTTTCTTTAATGCACTCCCTTTTCCTTCGACAACATCTAGACTGTCAAAATTGGATTGTGATCTTCCTCAAGACATGTGCATTCATGACCAAGAAATTCATAAATTTCATATCAAGAGAAACTTTACCAATGAGAGTGAATTATGGATGGTTGTAAGGTGATGCATCAGGCCGTTGACAGGCCCTTAAGTGCCCCAATAATTGATAATCCTTAGTGTATGTATACTGGTGATGCTACAATAAGAGGTGAAAATTGACTAAAAAGAAGTCAAAGGCTAAGGGTCTCGAATATGCATCCGTCATTACATCAGGTTCTCAACTTAGCAACTCCCTGAATTACTCAGCAAAAATCACACATGCCCATAGAAATGAATCTATGTTACAAAGAAACAGTGATCACGTGCCAGATACGTGTCTCACAAGAGGACAAGGCAAGTCAGTCCAATGCTGAGGTATCAGCATGTGTAACTTGTGGGGATTAACATATACGCAATATCTAAAAATTAATGAAGATTAACATTATTAAAAAGTTAAATTCTGCATGCACATCCAAACTTTTGGACACTTGAGTCTAAATCTTTGACATATGCGTCAGAAAAGAAGGATCTACCAGAAAAAGAAAAATGCAGAAAGAAATAATGTGACAAAACCAAAAGAGCACAAGCACATAGGAAGGAAAATCAATTATGAAACAGAGATTGAAAGACACGTTGTGTGTAGAGAGAAATTTGAAATCAAGGTTTAACAGTGCGATAATTATGTGTATGTGTACGAGAGTGAGTGAGAGAGCGAGAGAGTCTCATGCTTATAGGCCATATTATCTTTCTTTTACTTTCAGATAGACAACTTTACAGGAGCAAACAGAAAAACTATGTGTGGATTATCTATCAAATATTCAAATATATATACAAAGTATGAAGTTTCACAATGAGGCTCGAATACCCTAACGTGAAAAGATACAGAAATACTCTAAGGGGCCGTTTGGATACCTGGAAATATATTATCTGCGAAGTATATTACTAGCGTAATACATTACCTGCAAATGGATTGTCACTGTTTGGATAGTATTTAGATACAACTTGAGAAATACATTTCTAGTGTCTGGCTATGTCTCAAAGAAATATGGGAAATGCATTACCAACCAAATATGAAATATATGGCTATCTTTGGCTAACATGATTAGACTTTGCTTTCAACATGATAAGCCATTGGAATAATATGATTGGAATAACATGATTTTATTGTAATAAGCCTTATTTTTATTTATTTTTTATAGAAGTCTTTCAAATGTCTCTCTATATATAATTTCAAATAAGCAATAAATTTATGATACCAAAATCAAAATCTTTACGTATAAGTTAAAAAATGGGAAGAAGTTTTATTAGTAAACTAGAAGGTTTGGTAATTGCAGTAGAAAATTTTGAAGCATTGGAGGAGACTAAAGAGGTATCTTATTTCAATTGAGTTTTTACAATCTCTTATGAGGATTATGTTGTGTGAAAATTTTTATTATGATTGTGTTGTGTAATTTCTCATCGATTACCAATTATTATTTTTATATGAGCCGATACTTCAAATGAGGGTTACAATCCAAATTGGGTATAGAGGGATATAGAAATTTTTTCATCAAGTTCTATACCTGTTCAAATCAATTTAGATTTCCCCTACTTTCACTTGCCCATTATTAAAAAAATTTGTTTTTATATTAGAGTACGATGAGGCCTACAATCCAAATTGGGGATAGAGGGATATAGATTTTTTTTTGTTTTATATAAGAGTAAGATGAGGGCTACCATCCAAATTGCGGATAGAGGGATGTAGAAATATTTTTTATTATGATTGCAATAGAAAGTTGTTGCTTATTAAGTTCGTACATATGTTCAAATCAATTTTCATATCCCTTACTTTCTTTTTCTACTTACCTTAATAATTATACAATACAACATACACTAGTGAAATATTTTTTTTAAGCCGGGTATAGGGCAGAGAGACGCACGCGAAAGATTTTCAAAGATTACCCATTAAACGCGTAATAGATTTTTCACTTCTCACCGCGCTTAAGCGCTTAATGGATTACGTGACTTTTTGGAAAATCTCGGGTAATGTCATGTAATCTCTTTCCATTTCCTTATTATTAAAGTGTATCCAAATAGTGGAAATGTCATATTTCCCTATTGTCACGTAATGGATTTTCAGGTTACAAACGGCTCCTAAAGACAATAGTGTGGTACAAGCACCATGAATTGCATGGAATGATACAATTTATTAGCATAGTCATGCCACACAATATATACATCTTCATATAAGTCACTGTCTTTAACATTTTAAGAGAAAATAAGATCCACATGCGAAGACACCAGCTTAACTAGTGCCAAATCTTTTTTAATACACTCCTTTTTCTTCTGAAAAGATCTAGATTTTCCAAATTTGATTGTCATCTTCCTTAAGACATGTGCATTCATGAGCAAGAACTTCACAAATTTCATATCATGAGTACCCTTTACCCATGAGAGAGAAATATGGATGGTTGTAAGGTGATGCATCAGGCAGTTGAAAGGTCCTTGAGTGTCCCAATAATCATCTTCAGGATAATCTTCAGTGTCCATATACATGTCATGCTACAATAACCGGTGAAAAATCAACAAAAAGACACAAACTAAGAAGAAATTAAAGGCAAAGAGTTAAGAAGATGTATTAGCAATCGATTCCACTCTGCAACTAAGGACTACAATGCAGAGCTGCATACCCTGTTAGGCACGAGTTACTTACCCAGACATAAACATGCACATACACTTAAATCTATGCTTCATGAATACAGACACAATGTGTCCGACACAAAACATGTTGGACACGAAAAAAACGTGTACAGGCATGGACATCAAAAAATCTGGACGCATGTATCTAAATTATTGGGGCACATATGTAATTTGGATATGTTTCAAAGTTCTAGACACGTGTTAGTGGCAAACTGCAGAGCCCTGTGCTTCTGACATGAAAATAATTTGAGAAACGCCCTAGCAACACTTGCTGGAATCGTCATCTATCATGTCTAAAGAGTAGACACATGTATCAGATACAATGCTGGTGTAGTAAATACATGCCTCTGTTGGATGAACGCAAATGCCACAGACCCATTATCCCACACCACTTGGCATAGCCAATGAAAGGAAAAAAGCACCCAACATTTTTCTTCTTTGATTGGTCATGAGAACAGAAACACACTAAGCAATATTAAAGACATTCAAATGATAGGAAAGGTGCATAAGAAGGATTAGAACACTAACCACAATTGAGAGATCCTTCATATAGGGAGAATTCTTGAGCAATATGGAGGTGACATCACAGTCCCTCACATCAATTGGAAGAACACCCAAGCATAGCTTGCTTAAATTATGAAATGCCCCAAGCAACCTCTCAGGGAGATCATCTAGAACCACCTTCTGAAACCAAGAGAAGAACATCTCAAAATACAACCCAGCAAGAAGGAAATCATCACAGGTCAATGATATATGATTGACAAGAAAACAAACGGTTACCCTTATAACAAGGGATCCCAAGGAAAGTGTTTTCTGGCCAACTAGATTGCCTTTGAGAATATTGAACTCAATGCCATTCCCCAGATCTACAAGATTATTGAGGGTAGTCGAAGCATCCGCAAGACATGGGGTCTTCTTAAAATGAAAGGTGAAGACACCATGATCATCTTTGAAGTAGAAGCTTTGAAGATTGGGATGACAAGGCTCACGATCACTATGATCCCCAACAAAATCCATTGATAGGTATTCTAAGAGAGCAGAATTCAATAGCATACCACTCATTTTGTTGTCATCAATTCTGCAACACACAAACTCCAGCGCTTTAACGCCCTTGAACGCATTGAACGTGAACAAAGACCCCAATTTAGAATAATAGAGTGTTAAGGTCTCAAGTCGCGGAGAATTGGAAGCAATACCTTGAAGCAGGTTATCGGCAAGATCACAGTTTTTGAACTCGACAGTTTCAATATGGGGAAAGCCATTAAAGCTAGATGGAAGCTCAAGCCTGCAATTGGTTATCTTCAACAACTTCAATGAACCACAATCAAATACAGAGCAAGGCACCTGATACAACCCTCCATAAAAAGAGCCCCCAAAATGCCCTAGAACGAGTTCGGGTAATCCTCTCTCTTTAAAGTAATTGATCCACAGATCTAACAGAAACCCCCATTGCTGGAGGTCAACCTCTATCTTACATCTCTGGACTGGTTCACAGCGAAACAAGAAGAATCGTTTCATGAGCCGCAAAAACCTGGTAAAAGTGCGAGGATCTCCATGATACACTTTGCTTACATGCTCCAGAGAATAATTGTCTATATTCAAGCAAGGGATTGAAGCCCAGGCGTGTCTCCATTTGCGAGATAAGAGGGATACCTGGATTGCGTCTCTAATGGGGAGGAGAGAAAGAATAGACTCGATAACGGCTTTTGGGAGCTCGCTGAAATGGTCCAAACCAGAATTCTCAATTGCGTAAATATAAGAATTCGCAATCGTATTGGTGCTGCTTTGGAGTGCAGTATCTTGGTTTGTTGATGCTTCCCCTGAATTTTCAATGGTAAAATGAGATAGAAACTCAGGGTTATTAGGCAACAAATCCATCCCCTCGAATATTAGATGAGATGAGAGAGAGACTGAGGGCAACCAGAGAGACAGACACAGAGAGATTGAATTGATTTGTTTTAGACAGAGAGAGAGAGGGTGAGGGAGGAGAGAGAGAAATGGAATGGGTTAGGGTTAGGGCTTCAGCAGCTGACTGAAAGAGTTGAAGGCAACCAGAGAGACGAGATGAGAGATTGAATTGATTTGTTTTAGACAGAGAGAGAGAGAGGGTGAGGGAGGAGAGAGAGAAATGGAATGGGTTAGGGTTAGGGCTTCAGCAGCTGACTGAAAGAGTTGAAGGGCAAAGAAGAAATCTCACCCGAGTCAATCCTTTGGAGTGAATGCGATCTTGTTGTCGAGTACGTGTTCTTCATTACTTAACCTAAGTATTGAGGGCGGTTTAAGAAACCGTTCATATGGGCGGTCATGTCCTGACGGCGGGGAGCAACGGCGTTCAATTTCAATAAAAAAATAAAAAATAAAAAATAAAAAAAATACCATAAATATATTTTAATTTTCATCTAATTGAAAAAAACTTTCAACTTTCATAAATCTCATCCGCACTATTTTTTTTCAATTTCGGTTTTTTTTTTTATCAAAATAGACTTTACGGCAGTTGTATTATGATACCGCATTTGATATATAAGAGTTATTTCGGTAATCGAATTACCGTAATAATATCTAATTTGATTCTTAGGCATCACGGTGTCAGTACCATGAAAATGTTTAAAAGTATTACTGTACTTAAAATGTCATAACCTTATGATGATTTATATCGTACAAAAACTACCGTGCTTATTTTTAAACTAAATTTCTCTCACACTCTTCACAATTTTATTCATCTTATAAACCTTATTTTCCCATCTCA